TTTGATGTAGTAGCGTCAGTCTGTAGAGTTTCATTAAGAATCGTCTTTAAGATTTATACAGGGTGTCTATAACGATGGGTCACATTTTAAATGGATCTTGGATTATAAAAATAACATAGAGTAACAAATATATTTATTATATAATTGATCTACAACATATCATCTAAGATTTGAATATTACATCCCAACGATGGTTACCACCACGAAGAGAACATGCACGAACTCGGTCTCTCAATCCAAACACAGGTAGTCTGTCTCAGTGATGTTAGTAACAGGATGCTGCAGTATCGAAAATGGGTCAAGAATTAATAAGTGACGGCTTCCTGGTTAAATATCGTTCTGCGGCAGGTGCTCTTTTAGGTAATAACTAAGGCTAACTTTGTCAGGGAGAGGAGCTTAATGCCGGTTTGAAAGAAATATGAACTTTCAAAGTAGTTGTTCAACAACATGACCTAAAACAAACGAATATACAGACCCACCTTATTTGCCCTTTTGTTCATGATGAAAATGAATGAGGCTTAGAACACGTAACGTAACTTATTTTAAAGAGGTGGGTATTAACGTAAAATTAGAAGTTGTATTTACAGCAGTTCTTCAATAATTCAACTGCGTAAAGACTTAGAAAAAATAGAGATTGGAAAAAGGGTTAAAACAAGAAGACACCTTTTTCTTAGATTATACACCGCATGCTCTAGAGAAAAACTCCCTGAAAATGAAACGGTAATGTGGAAACATAATATATGGATCATTTGATGACGATTATTTTCCGATAATGTAAGCATTATTACTAGAAAGAGCGACAACATTTAGTAGACTTAAGAAACCCGTTTTCCTGAAAATTTGTTTTAAGAGAAAAATTTTATACATATTAACCGCGAGTAATGCTAACTGTTCGTTCAATGAATGACGAATGTTTCTTGTATGAAAACAGATCTTCCCACCCCACTGCTATTAACATGGCTGGGGATTATAAGAAATGCTGACCGTCTTAAATAAATAACGTCGAAATCTATGTTTGAAAATAGAACTCTATACACTAGTCAATATTCTACACGGATTCCTTATTCGAGTCAATATTTAAAGAGATTACAAATTGTTCTTGATGGCTGACATTCGTACAAGCAGATTTTGTCTTTCAATACAAGTGTAATCTGACACGGCTAAAATGTCAATATTCGACCTTTATGGGAGAAAGTAGTATTGACAATATATGGTAATGTTTAGAGAATTGTTTACTAATTTCCGACTCGGAGCCACGATTGACAGCATTACTATTTACGCCTCCTGGAGTATTGAAGATTTCCGAGGAAATGTGTCAGAAGTAATTTCCGTTTTGGGGAACCGAGTGTAATGGCGAATATATCATTCTAACTGCAAATCATTCATGGAAGTTAAGAATAAAATTCTGACATATATTAGCTTTTTATAGCATACGTATCGTACATAGTGGATTAAAGGTTAAAGGTTGTTCTCATTGATGACAACGCAAGAACACAAGACAAAAACTTGGAACTCGGTTGGTCAGTTCTATCAAACTAACTATATGCACCTGACCTTGCGCCAACCGATAGTTACCGTTTTCGATTGCTTCAAAATACTTTGATGGGGAATGATTTTTGTAATGAAATCCCGATTCAAGCGTTTGTCGAAAAGTTATTTCACATTAAAACATGCGGAATTTTATTCAAAATGTTTCAAAGAGCTGTCTAATAAGTGACAGTGGGTCATTGCAAATAATGGTGATTATATAATCGAAATAAAATGTAATCGTACTTTATCTTTTGAAGGATAACTTTTATAGACTACATCGGAAAATTTCCTAAAGCAAAGCTTCAGCAGCAACAGCAGCAGTCAGAAAAGAGAAGGAACGGAGATGCGTAACAATAGCAGCAGAAACTGCAGCAGCAATAAAAACAGCGGCAGCAGCTGAAACTGTAGCAGCAGCAAAAACAGCAGCAAAAAATGGGACAACAGCTGAAGCGGCGACAGCAATAAAACCAGCGGTCGCAGCAGAAAGAGTGGCAGCAGCAGAAACTGAGGCAGCTGCAGAAACTGAAGCAGCAGTAAAAAAAGCCGCAGCAACAGAAACTCTAGCAGAAGCAAAAACAGCGACAGCAGCAGACACTGCAACAACAGCAAAAACAGTAGCAACAGCAGAAACAGGGGTAGCAGCAGAAACTGCGGTAGCAATAAAACAGCGGCAGAAGCAGAAACTCAGCAAAAACAGCGACACCATCAGACACCGCAGCAACAGCAAAAACAGCAGCAGCAGCAGCAGAAACAAGGGGTAGCAGCAGAAACTTAGGTAGCAATCAAACAGCGGCAGAAGCAGAAACTCAGCAAAAAATAGCCACAGCAGCAGAAACTGCAGTAACAATAAGCACAGCGGTAGCAGTAGAAACTGCAGCAACATCAAAAAACAGCAGCAGTAGCAGCAGCGGCAACAGCGACAGCAGCCGAAACAGCGGCAGTAGAAGAAACTGCAGCAGCAATAAAGACATAGGCAGCAGTAGAAACAGCAGCAGTAGCAGAAACTGTGTCAGCAATAAAAACAGCGCAGCAGCAGAAACTGCGGCAGCAGCAGAAACTGCGGCAGCAGCAGGCAGGCAAAACCTAACGTTAGTTTAAAAGTGGCAAGACCTACGTTCAGGTTTGTCTCACAAAACAATAACCAAATAGATTAAACGGCCGAAACGTTGTGATAGTTATTTAAAACAAGAAAATGCTTTTAGTTTAAAGAATTATTGTTTGGGGAGATGATAATTGTTTAGTAATACAAGTCTTACTAATTAACATATAGCTGGAGGGAGAAGAGGTGGATTCACACCTTTCCCAAGGGTATTTGCACGTAAGTGAATATCACAAACCCAAGGAAATTGGCTCTCCAATTATCCATTACACTACCCGCATATCGAAGCTTATAGCACTTGGTATTTCCAAGCGGTTACCCATCTAGGTACTGACCAGGCTCGACGTTGCTAAACTTGATTATTATAATGGAACTGGTGTTTTAATATGATGTGGCTATAAGCTTAGATATGCGGGTAGTGTAATGCATAAAAGTTCGGAATTTGAAGTCGCAGACCCGAGTTCCAATGCCATTCGTCTTTGTTATATTCACTTAAAGCTATAAATATCATGAATATTATCCACTCATGCAAGAAATTCATACAGAAAGATTCCAGCGTTAGCTCGAGGCAGCTTATATCTGATTGGTTAGAAAATATAATTTTAAGTTCTGAATTTTGATTTGTCATTCTGTGTTCAGACGCCTTTTAATAATACGTTAATACGTTATGTCGTTTTTTAAGGTTTATCAATTCATTGTATTTTATTTATCACTGAAACTTATTTTGCATTGTATGATTTTTTTTGTGAGTGAATAACAATTTGAGCAAGATATTAAAGAACTGAAAAATATCCTTAGAAAAAAAAATCCATTCTAGTCTTGCATGCAATTTCTAATCTCCCTCATGGCAGTATTTGTAAGATAATTTCATCGCAAATAAAACGAAGCGGCAAAGATGCCTTTCTAACTATGAATGTTAAGAATAGAATGTACAAATTTTGTAAAGAAGGAAATCTTAGGATTAATTGATTTATTTCTTTACAGTTTATCGACGTTTTGCAGGTTATTTGAAGCCAGGAAATATTTTTAGAGTGTTACTAGACCACTTATGGCCCGTTAGGTCAACCTTGTTGTGTTTACTGTTTACATTTAGTTTCATAAAGAGTTTGTGAAAGTAGAGATGTTCTAAAAATACATTTATTTGCAGTTATTGAAGTTGCTTTCAACATTAATAAAATTGTCTGTTTGAAGAAAATTGAAAAATAAGAGCTTGGAATGTCAAAATTCGTAGTGTTGGGATTCGATAGAGCAACATAAAATATTGTTACGGGGCTGCGCGTAATTCGACCGTTTAGAATAATCAAACGATTTTCATTGAAAGAATAAAATTCAGTAGAAAAGACAACGTAGTTTCAGCAAATGAACATTAATTTAATATAACGACAAGAATACCCGCAACTGGTCATAGATTGGAAAGTAATGTCCTTTTTTTGGAGGCTAATAAAATTCTGAAATTAAATATATATTCCCTTTGTGTGCGTATGTAAAAAACAATGAAATGTTGTCATATGCGAGTTTGTGCAGAAAAAATCAACATGTATGTGCGTGGTTCATAGTAAAGAGGATACAAGAGATAGAATTTGTTTCTTACTGTGGATGGTGTTGATGTAGTCTGAAGCAGTCTCTTTGAAATTTGTAAGCGCTGTCGCTTTTAGCATTAGGTCATGAAGTTCACAAGCGATAGTGGCGTGGACCTTGATGACAGCTGTGCGTATCCTGTTTTGGGGCCGGATTTCGTGTGTTTTATACACTTCCTCGTAAAAAAATCGTCTACATCCCCCACTTCCAACACGATAATAAATTTACATCTTTCTTTTTCCAGCTCTCTATATATGACTTATTTATATCTTTCTTTTCCCCACTCTCAATATATGACTTCTGTCAAACACACATGATACAAAGTTCACAGTTTTATATATGATGAAATGAATATGAATACACCTGGTCTCCCCCTCACAGTAATATGATTGGCTGGTGTCAGCCATAAATTCAGACTGATGTGGAGGTACATGGCTACGCCTATAGTCTTCGCCTATTGCCTACCACTACGACGAGGACCAGTCCATTACGATTACCTGCTAGATTGTGCTACCCGGTTACAGTAGTCAACAACCACTTTGCTACTTCGAACAAATATATCCCTTTCCGGGACATATCAATATAGTAATAAGATAATGTTTTAGAGATAATAATGATTTACTGATACACGTCCTGCTAATTAACCCATAGCTGGAGGGGGAAGAGATAGATTCATACTTTTCCAAAGGGTATTTGCGCGTAAGTGAATATAACGGAACCTACTAAAATATGAATTCGACTCTACGATTTCAAATTCCGAGCTGTTACCAATTACGTAACCCGCACATACGAGCTTACATCATCCAATATTCTCAAGCTCTAACCCATCTAAATACTGACCGAGGACGGCTTTTCTTAACTTCGGAGATCGTAGGAGAACCGGAGTTCCAACGTGATATTGCCGCAAGTCTTTTAAGATTAAGGGCTACAAATGAATTATTGATAACAATCAAAAAGAGACAGCTGGAAACGTTTAAAATCATAATAAGGAAAGTAGATTTAGCGAATTTAATATTCTCAGGGCACATTGCCGACTAGCGAAATAAAGAAAAACTCTTAGACATTTAACTTGACGGTTCGAGCAAATGGATGGCGAAGCATTTAACACAAAGAGAGGATGTAGTCTGAAGCAGTCTCTTTGAAATTTGTAAGCGCTGTCGCTTTTAGCATGAGGTCATGAAGTTCACAAACGATAGTGGCGTGGACCTTGATGACAGCTGTGCGTATCCTGTTTTGGGGCCGGATTTCGTGTGTTTTATACACTTTCTCGTAAAAAAATCGTCTACATCCCCCACTTCGTACACGAGAATAAATTTATATCTTTCTTTTTCCAGCTCTCTATATATGACTTATTTATATCTTTCTTTTCCCCACTCTCAATATATGACTTCTGTCAAACACACATGATACAAAGTTCACAGTTTTATATATGATGAAATGAATATGAATACACCTGGTCTCCCCCTCACAGTAATATGATTGGCTGGTGTCAGCCATAAATTCAGACTGATGTGGAGGTACATGGCTACGCCTATAGTCATCGCCTATTGCCTACCACTACGACGAGGACCAGTCCATTACGATTACCTGCTAGATTGTGCTACCCGGTTACAGTAGTCAACAACCACTTTGCTACTTCGAACAAATATATCCCTTTCCGGGACATATCAATATAGTAATAAGATAATGTTTTAGAGATAATAATGATTTACTGATACACGTCCTGCTAATTAACCCATAGCTGGAGGGGGAAGAGATAGATTCATACTTTTCCAAAGGGTATTTGCGCGTAAGTGAATATAACGGAACCTACTAAAATATGAATTCGACTCTACGATTTCAAATTCCGAGCTGTTACCAATTACGTAACCCGCACATACGAGCTTACATCATCCAATATTCTCAAGCTCTAACCCATCTAAATACTGACCGAGGACGGCTTTTCTTAACTTCGGAGATCGTAGAAGAACCGGAGTTCCAACGTGATATTGCCGCAAGTCTTTTAAGATTAAGGGCTACAAATTAATTACTGATAACAATCAAAAAGAGACAACTGAAAACGCTTAAAATCATAATAAGGAAAGTAGATTTGGCGAATTTAATATTCTCAGGGCACATTGCCGACAAGCGAAATAAAGAAAAACTCTTAGACATTTTACTTGACGGTTCGAGCAAATTGGTGGCGGAATATTTAACACAAAGAGACATTGTAAAGGAGAAATGATGAAAGCAATAATCCACAAGAAGCCGTGAAGAGTTATAATCGCCCATAACTTGAAAGTACACGGCAGATATATATATATATATATATATATATATATATATATATATATATATATATATATATATATATATAAAAATATAGTCTTAAGGTGTGCTATATTTATGGAATAAAGTGCTCAATATCAGAGATAGAGCGTGTTATGTAAATGTAAAAATGTGAACATAAAGTCAACACTTAGAGCGACAGTCTTTTTCATGCTATAACCGCAATCGTCAGGCCACATATGCTGTTATTTTTCTCGGCTATTTATATATATATATATACGAGAAAATGGTGCATTGTGGGTATTCTGTTATGGCGATTATTTTATAGAAGTAAACAAACGACTTCCGGTAAAATTTATGTTCACTTTTTATATATATATATATTTCTAAATATCTACTGGCAAATATGTAAATTTCATCTCAGTCACTTTTCATAGTGGGACTTTTGGCAAGGTAATTTTGTAGATACTTTTAAAAAATTTAATTTCTCCATGTGAGCCCAGCATTCGTGGCTCTTATGCCTGACTTGTATCACTTCATCAAACTAACAAGTAGATAAGCCTGATGAAATAACTGCAATAAATACCGTCAAATGTTAAAAAAAAAAAAAAAATAATGAAACTCGTCCATTGAAGAAAAATCGTTTTTTTTCTTTTTTTTTTATTTCTCATAATTCTTTGCTGTCAGTAACCGGATATTTCAACTGTGCAGAGCTTTAAAAGTTCTTAAAGATGTCATCAGTTTTAAACTGCTCTCATCTCGATAGCAGCAAAAGATTACGTTGTTCTGAACAGACGTGTCTCCTCTTGAAATAAAATGAAAACATTATTGACAAAGACTCCATATTGAACATGCCAGAAAACGGATATCAATTTTAAATATCTTCAATGAAATCAATAAAAAAAAAAAACTCATTCGTTCAGTATGAACGAATAAATTTCCAGCGTAGAAAATTGGCAAGCTATTTTATTATTAAAACGTAAGAAATAATATCTTGTATCCTATTTGATTCGAATAATTTTGCTAATTTTTCCGACGGAGGATGTTCATTATTGCAGTCATTCATTTTTAATTGTTAGAATATAATTTGTTAATTATGACGGGGGCATTATAAATGTTGAATTAACGACGGTTGTAAACGCATTTTGAGAGACATCAAAGACCACCAAAAGCAGTAATTATTATATCAATACTGACTGCCGTCTACTTGTTTGAATCCATTTTAATAAACATTTCATCGGAGATTCTAAAACGCTTGGAAGTCCGGGCCAAGTTTTCGAACAAACTAAATATTTTTCTTTATCGAAGTATTAAATAAGCTTTGATTGAATAACGATTATCAGAAAATGGAATTTTAGGAGGTACGTTTACCTTAACGCAGACATATTTTTCGAACTTTTAATTTCGAACTGGAATTTCCGTTGTCTTTTTTTAAAATTGATACCCTTTCTCTGGCATGAGCTTTTATCAATAATGTTTTCCTTTTTAATTACATTTTTATAATATTGTTTTATATTCCAGGCGGTTGGGATGAACAAAAACGAATGCGAATTAAAGACATGTTTATTTTAACACATAAATAAACATCTACTATTTATTCACTGTCCGAGAACAGCAAGGATTGTATAGATTGAAAACAACGAATTTCACATGCGTGTCAGCTGGTCGCCATGTTCAATTTTGAAGTGGTGTCCTCGTCTTGACTGACAAGGGAAGTAACTCTGTTATATTTTGAGTTATCGTCCTTTTTAGGGGAATGGATTCAGTTTTCAAAGTACAAGACCACTCAATGTAGAGAGTTATTGAATGACGTTGTTGTAAGTATTCTTGCTGTTTATGGCGAATCTTAACTTTCAACGAGCAAATTGTGTAAATCATTCTTCCGGTCATTGCCCTGGAAGTGCTTTCAGTACTGCGTCAACTGCGTAGCGTATAGTATCAACAACTAATCCTGGAAAGTCTTCTACTCTAAGAATTACATCACTGTACAGGAAGAAGAAAAAACTTTGGGAAAACATCTTGTAGATCTCTTTTTTTCATGATTTACCAGGAATGTGAATTCTTGATGTTATCAGTTTGCCAATCTTGATAGCGACACATTTGTAATGTGCCTGAAAGCCATAACACGGGTTGACGAAAGTTTTGCCAGTGAAATTGTGTAGAGGGAACCACTGAGAAGATGACTGTACTAGCACGAAGTTAAAAGTCATAGTGACCGAGGGTTTCAGCGTACTAGTGTTATTCAAGCTGCTGATAATAACTGATTCTGTTATACCTGACGCACCTATTCTATTATTAATAGACTCTCCCACACATAAGTAGTAGTAGTAGTAGTAGTAGTAGCGGTCGCCAGTTGGGCTCAGTGGTGTTGAGCGAGTCAGTCGATATCGGACATTGAAGTACCAACCATCACAACTAGATTGCTGCGTGATTAACTCTTATTTCAAGTTCCTAACGTTTTGTACCACGAACCTAATTTAGGACGACTTATTGAAATACAAGCCCCCACTGTGAAAACTACTCTGCAACAGATTCTAAGCCATTTATACTATTTACTTTCTTCGGACTGTTCACATCTTTGTTGTCATATTAATGACGTTTCGGCCTTTGTACACTCCGGTCTACTTCAGGTGATTGAAATTTCGAACCGAACGCTTTATTTTATCCACCGGGGTAGCTTGTTTTAGTTCCACGTTCCATGCCTCTTCCGTACGTCTCGATTTCAGTTATTTCCCTTTAGTAACTCAGCTCTCCAAGTTTTTCAGGGATTGAACTCACTACTCTTTTGGGGAAGTCACTGGATTACTTCAACCAACGCTTTTATCCACTCGGCCATGTGCCCTTAAGGCCGAATAGTCGTGAGTATGACAACAGAGATGAGAAGTGCCCAAACAATGTAAATAGTGTAAATAGTTACAATACCTCATCTCAGATATATAGACAGATAATGATTATGAGCCTTCTCCCAGGAACTCTATGGTCCGCTCAGAATTGTTGCGCTAAAAATAACAGATGGGTCCTGAATAATCAAAAAGCTTTTTCAGCAGGTGTCTGCGACTGAAAATGTGAGTAAGCGGCCATTAATATAATTAAAGCTAATTCGATGCTCGTTGTTTAAACAACAAAAAAGCAATGTTTAACATTCGTAACCAAAAAAAAAAAAAAAAAAAAAAAAAGAAAACAAAAAAAAAACACAATAAAACGAAGTGTCAAATGCTCGTTGTTTAAACAAAAAAAATCAGCAATGTTTAACAAAAAAAAAAAAAAAAAAGAAAACAAAAAAACAAACAAAAAACAAATAAAAAACAAAAATAAACGAAGTGTCAAATGCTCGTTGTTTAAACAAAAAAAAATCAGCAATGTGAAAAAATTCGTAACCAAAAAAAAAAAAAAAAAAAAAAAAAAAAAAAAAAAAACGAAGTGTCAAATGCTCGTTGTTTAAAAAAAAAGAACAGCAATGTTTAACATTCGTAACTAAAAAACAAAAAAGAACAAAAAAAAAAAAAACTAAAAAAAACGAAGTGTCAAAAGACGGTATTCCCTTGACATCACTATTACTGTATACGCTTTTGACTCCCTCGGCAAATGTTTATTGCTTTTATAGAGCGATGAATAGAATTTTAATAAAGCCCAAACATT